GAGATGAATGAGGTGTCTGCAGGGTGGAGGTTGTGTCACCATATTATCAGATCTTTTTGCCCGGCTCCATGCTGATTGCTTGGGAAGCCGGGTTCCCGGCCAATCAGCATCGAGCCGCGCAAGCAGCATGGAGTTGGCTTCCAGGTCAATCAAGAGCCCGGGCGGTGGGTAATGGCACGCCGCCCGGCTCCCCGATTGCCCCAGAAACCGGCTCTATGCTACCGGAAGTACTGGTACTCTGCATTGTTGAGTACCGAAATATAAATATCGGTACTCAATACCGAGAAACCAGTATCTGTGCATCCCTATTTATTTTTTGAATGCAGTAGGTTAGGTTTGTTAATCTTGTGTTTTATCCTGTGACAAGCATCAGACAGAACAGGAAGTGAAGGAAACCCCCAATGGGAACACAAACAGCAATATAAATTTCTAGTATAGAAAGGAAAGGGTCAGATGGAAAAGGAAAACAGATTCCTCCATCTACATTAAACTGTGTGGCTGGAGGAATCCCCACCTGGGCCAATCTGTTGCACTTTTTCCATCTGACCACAGAAAATCTGCAGATAAATTGTAAGGTGTGTGGGCATCTTTAGGATTCGATTCTTGCCATTTATTCGTTAAGGAGATTTCCTCCTGACTTCGTGTCCAGGTAGTGGGTGTCAGACAGATTAGGAAGTGAAGGCAGATATTTTCAATAGGTACACAGTAGGGATGCACCGATACCGTTTTTTCAGTATCGAGTACCAATTTTTGTTTTGTACTCGCCGATACCGAATTCTGATACTGGAAGTCCCAATAAGAAAGCCGGGCGGTGTGTAGTGACTCGAGCGCTCGCCTTTCCCGATTAGCTGGGAAGCCATCACCAGGTGACAAGGAAGCATGGAGCCCGTAAAGACTTGGTATCGATGCATCCCTAGTACACCGCATTTGAAATCGACAGAAATAGTGTTCGCACCTAGGTGTTTTGTAGCCGAGAGGCACTACAGCGCCCAAACAGGAGTTTTCCATTGTTTTCAATAACCCCTGTTCACACCTGTCCTGTAGCCTGTCACTGGGAAAAAAAAAAGTACATGAGCTGCTTTTCTGCAGATTTCTGCACTTTAGGCACATATACTTCAAATGAAATGCCTGTAAACGCACAACACAAGCGTTTACTAGTGGTTTTTAAAGCATTTTGTTGTGTTTTTGTCACCCAAGAGCCAGCCTTCCTCTTTGCAAACAACACTGGAGAACAAACTGGAGCACAGCACAAGTTGAAGACACGCAAGAAAATCAATTGACAAGTGCATGTCAACGCGTGTAAAGTGCGCAAAAACACTTACAAAAACTAGGGTTGCACAGATACCAAGTACCGATACTTTTGAGCTCCAAGACTACACTAGAGAAAAATTCAAAAATTAGGAGACAGCTGTCATTTGTAAGGAGCACACGGAGCTCCTGGGATTTGTACATTTCTGTTTTAATGTACGATTTTGTTTTTATAAATATAAAGGGATGCACAGATACCAGTTTAGCGAGTACGAGTACTGGTACTTGCCGAGTACTTACAAGAACCAGTACTGATACATTGTCATGTGACAGTTAGGGCTGCAACAACTAATCGACATAATCGATTATAATCGATTATTGAAAAAGTTGTCAACTTTTTCAATAATCGATTAATCGGCTTCCGATCAGTTGGCCCTGTTCACAGCTTCCCACATGCTGCACGTCGCACCTCCTCCCCACCTCACACCCGCCGCTGCCAGGCCCGCCCGCCCGCATCCACGCTCTACACGCCGCACCTCCTCCCCGCCTCACACTCACCGCCCGCCCACATCCACAATCGGCACAGGGACGCGGGGAGATGTAGTAAGGAGGAGCAGGTGTGGTGGGATGACAGCCGCCGATAAACAGGTCCGATCTCAGAAGCAAGTTGCTGGAAGACTGCTCAGGTAAGCCTGCACTTCCCCACACATGGTGCTCTATAATGTATTGCTGGGATAGTGGGATTTGTATTCCTCTATAGTGTATAATTTTACACTTTCCATTTCACTATACTGCACACCGCACAATTTTTTTTCTTTTTTACTTCCACCGCTCCAAGCTTGCTCCTGTGATGGACTACAATCTCAATACAAACTAGTAGTCCATCACTGGAGCCATTTTTAAAAATGTATTTTATTTTTTATCCGGTTAATCGAACTTAATAATCGGCTAACTAATCGATTTTGAAAATAATCGTTAGCTGCAGCTCTACAGTTTTTCTAAAACAATACAGACTAATGATTTCAGGACAGTGGTGGAGCGCCAGAGCCAGGTCCCAGCTGCAACCGCTGCAACCCTGGTAGTTCTCATGAAAATGCCAAGTATCTGCACTGACAAAAAATGCATAAACTGCAGATGCTTAGGTGTGAAAGGAGCCTACAGGCTGGGTTCACACTTAGGTGCCAGTGTTTTTGTGAGCAGTTTGTAGCTCACTGATGTTAATAAGCAAACGCTCGTAAAAACTCGCACAAAACAAAGCAACTGCGCGTTTTCAAGCATTTCATATTGAGTCTTTGGGGCCAAATCGAGCTGTAATCTGCCAAAACAAAACCTTGTACTGTTTCCAGCGACAGGCATTTTACTTATGGCAACAAAACGCTCAGATGTGAACAGGGCCTTTTTTTCTAGGCATATATTTTGAGTGTTTTTTGTGAGGTTAGAAAAAGTGCCACAAAACGCTCAGTGTGACTCAGGCCTTATAGTGACACAAAGGTGGCATTTCTAACTAAACAGTACAGTCTCAACAGAGACATTGACCGTGTTTTAAAATCCGACAATCTCTAACCCTTCTTCGCTCTATCCAAAAACAGTGTCAAATTATTTACTATGTGACAAGGATGTTGATGGTGTGGGGAATTAAAGCTGGAGTGGGGTTTAAATGCACCACGTCTGCAAATATATGTATAAATAATGTTTGTGCCACCTGTATATTTTATTTTTACCACTACATGTTCGCAATATTCCACGTTTAATGACAGCCAGGATTATTCAACTCACTTACTTTAAGCCCAGGCCATCATGTGTCACAGAAATTGAAACAATACATTTAACCAGTTGACATCCGCGGTGTTAAACCCCCTTCCCATCCAGGCCATTTTTCAGTATTCAGCGCTGCGGTACTTTAACTGACATTTATTCCGTCATGCAGCGCTGTACTGAAATTAATTTTATACCCTTTTTTGGGGACAGATAGAGCTTTCTTTTGGTGGTATTTATTCACCA